GGACGGGACTCACTGGTTGGGAGGCTCCACGAGGCGAATTCAGGGCACCGAGCCGACCCGGAGATTCCTCACGCCGAGTTGTGGATGGGTACTCACGAGTCAGGACCGAGTCACGTCGTGAAGGAAGAAGAATTCGGGTCGGGTCATGATGGATCCGAATGCATGGTTACATTGAAATCGTGGCTTTCGGATAATCCGGGTTTACTCGGGTCTACAGTCGTGGACAAGTGGGGTTGTGATCTTCCTTTCATCTTCAAGGTAGGATATATATATTTTTAAATTACCAATTAAAAACATTTATATTCAGATTCTGTTTATGGTAAATCTTTGTTTTTTCCCTGATTTGTTACATACCTAATCATTTCGGAATTAAAAGTATTCATTATGAATTTTCTTTTGCTCTGTTTTAAAAATGGTACATTTTGACTGTTTTTTTCTTATTAAAGAACTAGATCTTCTCTGTGTTTGATTAAAAGTTAAAACATAGAGGTTTCTGTGTTTTCAGATTCTGTATATGGTCAATTTCTCCATTTTTGTTCTGTTTACATATATAGTCAATTTTTCTTGCTCGAAATCATTAATAAATTGTCACAATAACTCTATAGGGATAAAAAATATCCTCATTATTTTATCCAAAAAAAGATTCTCATTATGAAATTGCTTTTCTCTGTTTTGAGGATGTTACATTTGACTCAGTATATAAAAAAAAAATTGGATTTTTCTTTTTTATATTTTTAAAAGTTGCGACATAGTGGTTTTGAATCTAATAATTAAGAGTTTGATGTTGACATGTGAAAAATTAGGTTTTGTCAGTGACGAAAGCATTGTCGATTCAAGCACATCCAAACAAGGCCTTAGCAGAGAAATTGCATAAAGAAGATCCTCTTCTTTACAGAGATGCTAACCATAAGCCTGAGATTGCTCTCGCCATAACTCCTTTTGAAGCCCTTTGTGGTTTCGTGTCTCTGAAGGTACACACATTTCAGATTCTGTAAAGCCTCTAATTGAGTCGGTTTTGGCTTAGATCACTTCGGTTATTGGGATCAAGGGAAAATTGAACCGAATCCAAATTGAAACTTTTCCATGGTTTATTCCAGTTTGATTTGGTTTACTTTTTAGAGTTTGGTTCAGTTCAGGGTGCATTACACAGTTTAACCCGAATTAGTGATTTTTTTTTTTGGTTTAGTTCGGTTTTTTGTCTATTACATATGCTAAAACCAAAACTAAACCGGTTCTGTACCACTTGTATCAAATCAGGAGCTGAAGGAAGTTATCGCCAATGTACTAGAAATCACAGAGCTTGTCGGAAGTAAAGCCGCAGATCAAATCTTCGACGTCAACGAAGACGATGGAGACGAAACAAGTGTTAAATCCGTTGTCCGTTTGCTTTTCACGCAATTGATGTCTGCAAGTAGCAACGAGACGAAGCAAGTCATATCACAGATGAAGATTCGTCTGATCTCAGAAACCAACCACCGTGAATTATCGGAGAAGGAGAAGTTAGTTTTGGAACTAGAGAAACAGTATCCAGGTGACATAGGCGTGATCTCAGCTTTCTTCTTTAATTACGTCAAGCTTAATCCCGGAGAGGCTTTGTATCTGGACGCTAACGAGCCACACGCTTACATTTCCGGCGACTGTGTCGAGTGTATGGCGGCTTCAGACAACGTTGTTAGAGCTGGTCTCACTCCGAAACACCGTGATGTTGAAACTCTCTGCTCTATGCTGACCTACAAATTGGTAACTTTCTTTACACGTTACCGTTTTTGGCTTAATTGGTAAGGTGAATACCAAAGCCGGTTTTCTTTTTTATTTGCCCATTGATCAACCGTACCGGAATTTTTTCAGGGAGATCCGGAGATTTTGAAAGGATTTTCTCTGAATCCATACATTACAAGATATCTTCCTCCATTTGACGAGTTTGAAGTGGACCACTGTGATCTTCCTCTAGGGAAATCGACGGCTTTTCCGGCAGTACCCGGACCTTCGGTTTATTTGGTTATTGAAGGAAAAGGAAAATTGCAAACCGGTTCATTTCAATTGTCGGTTAATCTAGGAGATGTTTTGTTTGTTCCGGCTCATAACGAGATTCACGTGACCGGAGAAAGTGATGTGATGAAGATTTATAGAGCTGGAGTCAGCAGCAGATTTTTCCAAACATTGTAGACGAAGTATAAATACATATAATTTATCTGATTTGTTATCTTAATATAAATATATAACCATAGGGATCAATGCACTGGCATGATCTTAGTTTATATTGGTTCATGTTCAAATATCCCAATGGCCTCTTGCGAATTGAGTGGTTAACTTCTGTATTTTTTATTATAATAGTTTGTTAGTCTATATTGATTGACGGAACTATAATAGTTTGTTATTTTTTTTATTAACTTCTGTATTTTTTACCTCTTTCAAAAACCTGATTCTTCTACATATGTAAAAACGATAATTAGAATAATGTTAGAAACAAAAAAGTCTCTCTCTTCTCTCTCTAAAATCTTTGAGAGAGAGAGTTCTTTTTTTGATCGGCTTTTTGGCTGTTATATAGTTTCGTCAATCGGATCTTTCCGTTAATCGGATTTTATTTTCCATCTATCGAATTCTAAGTTCTCTAACATCGTTAGTTTTCCTTTTGTTTATTTTCTTCTTTATTCCAAGCGAATTTGTTGAAACTCTTTCCGTTAGTTATGCTGGATGTTCTCCCCAAAACGCAAATCATTCTCTTTTTTGTTGATAGATAATCGTGATTGCGAAGAGGAGGTTTCTTTAGCGCCCAAAACGCAAATCATTCTCTTTTTTGTTGATAGATAATCGTGATTGCGAAGAGGAGGTTTCTTTAGCGCCCAAAACGCAAATCTTTCTCTTTTTTGTTGATAGATAATCGTGATTGCGAAGAGGAGGTTTCTTTAGCGGAGTCGATTTGAGGTTTGGGAGTTAACTTGAGTGATTGAGATGCAGAATCTATAGAACTGGCGCTTCTCCGAGGTGGTCTGGTAAATAATCTGTTCAGTTTCACTTTCAGTGACTCTTTATTCTAATTTCTAATGGGGAAAGTAAGTTTTCTCATCTTCTCATGACTGCCATACGCAAAAAGAAAAAGTAAGTTTTTTTATCTTCTCCTGACAGCCATACGCAAAAGGAAAAAGCAGCAGGGTGGATTCAAAGCAGTTTCGCAGCGTTTCTTAGTTTCAATTGCGTCGGCGGCAAACTATTCTGATGATGATAGTGGTGCTGCACATGCTCTTTTCAATATTCAACACGTGTTTTTTTTTTTTAGTATGAAAGATTGTCCCCGTGTTGAAGCCCTATATTTTGATTTTTATGTTTTATTTAGACCCAATAGAGATTGTTCGCAGCTTTGCCCTTCATAGGCTTTAATATTATCAACAGACGAAAAAAAAAAAGAATAAGTTAGAACGGGCTTGATTCTCATGGGCATAAACGGGCCTGATTCTCATGGGCATAAACTGGCCAATTATATAAAATTTGGCTCGTACCCGTTTAGCTTTTTCATTAATCAATTATGTTAAAACGTCGTCGTTTTATACTTTAGTCAAAGTTTCATGACTGATTTCTCTCATTGTCGTCTTCTCCGCCAAATTGTGTCGCCGTCGATTAACCCCAGGGTTTATCGTCCGTGAAGCTTAGACTCTACTAGGTACGTTATCGTCCTTGACTCCTTGTTCACTGTTTTTTTCTTCTTCGTTGTTTCTGGGTATCTTCGGGACAGTGGACATTCCTGATTCTCTCTCAAATTTTGCTATAACTCAGCAAACTCATAATAAATCGGATTCCGTCTGTGTGCGGCTAATTGGATTTCGAAGGAGATCAAGGACATCCTGATCCTCGTTTCCAGAAGCGTTACCGTTACATCTGGTTTGGGTTTTTTTTTTCTTTCTCTCTCTCTCAATGTTTTGGGATATCAGTTTGTTGAAATTGTGAACCTTTAGATGCTCATTTGCGTTTTTATCTTATGGGTTTTGGATAATGGTTACTTGCCAAAACAAATTGTGAGACTTTAGATTATCATTTGCGTTTTTTTTATCTGTCGCTATGTTCTTTCTATTGTGTATGTTTGATGAACTTGATAAATTGTCTGCCTTGGTCATTCTTTATCTTATGGGTTTTGGATAATGGTTACTTGTCAAAAAAAATTGTGAGACCTTAGATTCTCATCTGCGTTTTTTTATCTGTCTTTATGTTCTTCTATCGTCTGTGTTTGATGAAATTGATAAATTGTCTGACTTGGTCATTCTATCTTACTCTAGTTTCTCCTTATCAATTATATTAGCAGCAGGGCCGTAGAAGTCGAGTACATTAGAATATTCTTATGAGTTTTTATACTATTGTTCACATGCTTTTCCTCTAGTGGGTTCATCTTTGATTGTTAGTTAGAGCATATTGCTATCATATCACGGTAATCGATCTTCCTTCATGAGTTTCCATAGGCTTTTTTGACCATCTTCCTCTTGTTGTTACTGCCTTTGTTTTGAACAGAAGGATCTCTTTTTCCTAAGCAATGACATGAGTTTGGTAAATAATCTTATTTGGTATGATAGATGTGTGTTTTTGTGTGATTTTGTGTTGTGAAAGTAGACAAATTCCATAAACACGAGTAGATTTACTCCACACAGTCTTGGATTGTCTTTGAACTTTTGTACTTTTAGATTGTCTTTAGGTTCACATGGGTTTGAAGTTTTTAGCTTTTAGATTGTCCTTTTCTTTCGACACATCTATTAAGTGGTGTTAGATAGATTGCATACAACATCATAACTGAGTAGTTGAACTTAGATTGGTGTTAATGGCGTTGTATTACGTAACATATGAGTACGTTCATTGTGTTAGAATGGCTCGTGTATTGCTTGCATTACTGATTTTCCTTGTTTGCCTTTTTGTCAATCTCTTTATTCAAACTTTGGTACCGTTTTGCTTCAGGTTTTGCAGAATGGATTTGGCAGTCTCTTAATACTAAATCAATTCGCAGTGCTCATAGTGACTACATGGATATGAATGAGGAAGATGGTATGACTAAGGAAGATGCTATGAATGAGGAAGATAAACAAACAAGAGATTGTTTCCCTCCCTCCCTCCCTCCCTCCCTCCCTCCCTCCCTCCCTCCCTCCCTCCCTCCCTCCCTCCCTCCCCCCCTCCCTCCCTCCCTCTCTCTCTCTCTCCCTCCCTCCCTCCCTCTCTCTCTCTCTCTCTCTCAGTCTTTTGCTCTATGATTGTGAATGCATTTGCCGTTTTGTTAAATACTCGCAGAGGCTAAGACATGCGTCTTCTGGGACATGGAGGATTGTCCGATCCCTGAAGGTCTCAATCCTCATTCGGTTTATCGGAATATCAGAGCAGCTCTTGCAAACAAAGGTTATCGTGGAGAGGTGACAATCACTGCTTATGGTGACAAGAATCAGATCCCTGGTTACTTTGAATCCGCCGGAATCAGTCTCATACCCGCAGGTGAAATCTTATAAACCAACACTCCTTTTTCTCTTTAACTTATGTCTCTTGTTATATCTTTTTTGATCTCTGTTAATATATGTATCTGGTTTCAGGAGATAAATATGCGAGGTTTAGAAGAATGAGATTGGACTTTTGGAGCCCGACAATTGAAAATCGTGGTGATATAATACCAAGTATATACAATGGAACTCTAAGAACTAAAAAAGCTCATAAATCTTCATTTGATTTTGGGATATAATCGCAGAATGTCCAATCTCATTCTTCACATGTCTTAGCCTCTGCGAGTATACCTGGTATCATTGAATTTCACTTATATTGTTCTTCTTAAACATTCATAATTTATTGGTTGTATATGTAGAGTTAATTTAACTAAACTAAGATGTCGACAATAGCTAACCATAATCATGCGGCTAACCATAATGGAAATGGTACTGGGAGAAATTGACATATTCCCCACCCAACCACGTGTGAATCATTCTACTATTAGAGACCACGAGTACAAAGTAACAGTCTGTTAATAGAGATTGTCAACATCCAGATTCAAGATTTTACAACAGATTTTTTCGTTAAAATCCTAACTGTAACTTGCAAAGGAAGTGTTCCAAAAACAGCGAGCTCATATGGGGTTACGGAAAACTCATAAGAGAAAGGGAAGATCGATGCCCCATTTTAAAATGTCGTAAGAGTTTTGTGACTCATTTTCATGACCTTTGTGTAGCAAAAAATAAAGTCAAAAAATTCTCTAATCCACAATATTGGAAAGATCCAAAAAGTTCTCTCACTAGTAATTTTAGAAAGATTAATTCTACCATTACACAAATAATAAAAATCTAACCATGGAAAATAGGTTTATTATTAAAATGATCTAAGTTTTTTTATAATTAAAATAACCTAGCATACCGATTTTACTTTTGAAGTCTTTGATGATAAAAAAATAGTTTTTGATAATGCTATTACTGAAACCCTGCCATTGCCGGTAGACTTATTAGATCCGGTCAACGCTGAGCGAGAGCGGTAGATTTATTTGTTGTTGATAGACTTAATTTCGTAAATATATTTTCACGTCGTGGAAGATTTGTTTTACACCTGTAGATTTCGATTAGATTTCCATTTTTTATGAAAAATTTGTTCGACCATTGGTAGACTTGTTATATGTGACGGTAGATGTTTGACCAGTAATGGTGGTAGATTTATCGTTTGAATGGTAGATATATTGCCTTCAGGTGGAAAATTTATTTCCTGGTTAGTCTACAGATGGTTCATATCACCGTATTGGTAGAGTTATTTATGTGGCGGTAGACTTAAATAATGATGGTCAAGTGATGCACAGTTGCGGTTGACTTTTATTGATTGTGTAATGGTAGAGTTAATCTTTTGAAATTACTACTCTAACATCGTTGTTAGATTTAGCGTTAAAGTGTTACAGTAGACTTTCGTATGTTGAAAGATGATGGTTTATAGTTGACTTTTGAAAACTCAATATTTAAATCTACCAAGTACATATATTATGAAGTGTGGTGTTTTCTTTTGCTAATCTTTACTCGTGGCACATGTCGATTAGTGATTTTCATGGTTTTGTGTTACATATTAGTGATGTTGTGATTAAGAAAGTGATTACTAAGTTGAAGAGCCATTCAATTACATTGGAAAGATTGAAGATCTTCATCCGCATAAGTCATACGTTTTGTAAGAGATATACATATAAGGAGAGGAATACTAAGAGATGGGATCAAATAGCATATTACAACAAGCGGCAAATATCATCAGAATTCAAATTTGAGGAGTTTGTACTGAATGAATAAGTAGCACTCTTCGCAGCCAGCAATTTGGTGTTGGAATTTGCAACTTGGAAAATCATCATATCCAAAGGCATTTGGCAAACAAGCCTCGGCTCTCGCTATGCATTCCCGTCTTCGTTGTGGAGACATCTTTACCAATCTGAATCATGTATTCCATACGTGATCTCCAGCCTGCAATATGGTCTAGAATTTGTAGTTCCTCTATTCCTTCAGGGCCAGTTGATTTGTTACCATGTTATGGACTGTTTTTGTTACCCATACATACGCCTTCTCTGCATGAGAATTGTTCCTTATGTCATTGTAGACTTCCTAGCCAACATCCTCCTTCAACATCCCAAAAGCTGTCAAATGACAGTAGTTGTTCAAACTCCTCTTCTGAACAGGAGATTCCCCTGGGGGAAACAATTGAGATGGGTATTTCAGCTTCTTCTCCCTTGAAGACGCCATCCACTAAGCTGCAAAAATATAACATATAATTCATAAACAAGCCTATCCCAAAACAAAGCAAACAAGTCTACCAATAAATCTAACTTATCAAGTCTACCATCAACACTAAATTAAGTCTATGTCATCCATTAAGTCTACCACTAAATGCCCGAACCATCAAGTCCACCAACAAGTCTAACTTAACAAGTCTAGCAAAAAACCAAGTCTACCACCACAACTTATCAAGTCTACCACCACACCACAAGTAAATTAGTTATCCATTAAGTCTACCACCAAACGCCTGAACCATCAAGTCCACCAACAAGTCTAGCATCAAAAGTCTAACTTAACAAGTATAGCAAAAAATCAACAAGTCTACCACAAAAAACCATCAAGTCTACCACCAAAAACAATCAAGACTTACCATCTATCAAGTCTACCACAATTCCACCAAAAAATTAAACAAATCTACCATCACAATAAACCATCAATACAAGGACAAGCCACCGTAAAAAAGGACAATTTTACTTCCGGTTCTATCCTGACCAGATTCTACCCTTATCTTCACCGGATTCCGCTGTCTTATCCTCATTGGTTTTCAACTAAATACAATGAAATAGTGCGGTAGTCTACCATCACATTATAGATTATATCAGAATAAATCTACCATAACGAAACCTAGATTTTACTGCGATAATTCACTGAAAACGGAAACATTTTCATCTGGTTACCTTTTCGCGGTTCACTTTCTCAATATTCACCGGATTTTATCGTCGTACTGCAAATAAATAAGAATCGACGGTCACAGTCACCGTAAATGAAATTTTTTTAAATCCGCAACCGGTTTCAAGTTGAATCGTCAATCCACTACTTCGACAATACCCTAAATCTACAAAAAATCGAGTTGAATCAAAGATGAAACCACTTATTCGAAACTAAGGAGGCGCCGCCATCGGTGCTAATGAGATATCGCCGTCGTCGCTAACTATATGCCACAAAGGAAACAGTGGTAAAGATACCTTCCACCGTCGCAACAAAGAAAAAGTCGGCCTCTCCAGAATCACCTGTCGCAGAAGAGAGATCTAGGGTTTCTAATCCATGGCGGCGAGTTTTCTTTTTGGTTTCACCAAATAAATTTTTTTTTTCAATTCTTTATCCTTTTTTATTAATCTTTCTTATTTCAATTTTTTTATTTTTTTAATTACTGATTTATTTCAATTTTATTTTTATTATTGAATTATCATTTTATTCTTAAAATATCAAATTTATTATTCCATAGATGTTTTGTCCTAAATTATATTTTATAGATTTATTAAAGTTATTCTGGTTAAACTCACTTGACAAGGAGTTAATCTAGTAAATACCCTATTTATTAAGGTTAATCTATAGGTAATTTTCTCAATAAAATTCTAAAAGCTACCTCTTTCTATATATAATAAAGAGAGAGCTCGTGCTGCTGAGAGTTCGAGAAATTCTTTGCTGCAAAGCTCTGCCAAGACCCAGCCTCGACAGCCACCTTGAAGGAAGAGCAACCCAGAAGACTAAAGGAAACACTTCTGACCCGTTTTGGTGGAATAGAGAAACTGCTGTTCAAATTGGATTTGTTTGATCTTGACTCCTTAGAGCTGTCAACTGAGAGTTACTATGGATTGAAATTACGAGCCGCCATCTTTCGAGACAATTTCATGTTGACTCCAAGGGATCCAGATGGCGATTTTGGTGTTGCTGGAAAGAGAATTATCCGATCGATTCAGTGCCCCTTCATTAGTTTGATTTAGAGGTATATTCCGTTAGTTATGATCATTTCAATCAGAGTAGATCATTTTAGCAAATCGTAAAATCTAATTTTTTCAAGTTTTGTAAAAATGTTGTGGATCGATTTGACGAACCAGATCGATTCAGTTTCTGGTACACATATCCTTGGAAAGACGATCCAGCTATCTTACCGCGGCAATTTACCATCCTCCTTCCAAGGTAACTCACGAAAGTTATGTTGGTTGCTCGCTTAAAAAAATATCTAAAACGTTTTTATTAACTTTATTAGCTGATAACCAAATCACACACCTTTCGTGATTTGCCTCGATAGGAGATCGAAAAGGTTTTCCAACAATACGTGTGAGTGGCAGCTGAATCCATTTGGTTCGCCCACATCATGTTCTACAGTACTAAGAAAAAGTCATATTTCTGTGATTTGAGAAAATGTTCCGCTCTTATAAAAATTCCCTTCACTAACGAAACATACCTCTAAATCGTACGAATGAAAAAGCACTAGATATATCGGAGAGTTCTCTTTCCAACAGCACCAAAATCGCGATATGGATACCATGAAATTGACGGAAAATGTCTCAAAAGTTGATGGCTTTGAGTTTCAATCTTTAAATTCTATCTCGAAAACACATTCACAACTCTTAGTATACAGCTCTAAATGACGAACCTCTTTTTGAGATAGATCGATACAGGAGTCGAGAATTTACCCTCAAAAATATCACAACAAACAAATCCTATTTGACCAGCCATTCATCTATTCCACCAAAACGAGTCGGAACTGCCTCTTTTAGCCTTATGGTTGCTCCTTCTTCAAGGTGGCTGCTGAGGCTTGATTTTGGCAGGGCTTGGCGGCAATAAATTTCTCTGACTCTCATCATCACAAGCTCTCTCTTTGTGTAGAGAATAAGGGCTTTTAGGGTTTCACTTAAGAAAATTTATTGGTTTTATTTTTTGCTACACCAAGGCCACGAAAACGAGTCACAAGACTCTCACGACATTTAAAAAATAGGTATTAATCTTCACTTTCTCTTATGAGTTTTCTGTAACCAGATCCAAGTCCTCTGTTTTTTCTACACTACCTTTGCAAGTTAGGGTTAGGGTTTTAACGAAAAAATCTGGCCGTAAATCTTGAATAAGATATGTTAAGGCGAATTAAAAGAACAACTTTTCAACTTCTCTCCCAATTGGTTTTCGACCAATCCTCAAGCATCTTCTTCTTTACTATTATCTAATCGTGACATTTTAATGCTTCCGTTGCGCACTTTAACTTTTGAGCTACCAATTAGAACTTAATCTCGTTGTATTTCACAATTTTTACTTTTATGCCTGCTTAACTCTTACTTGAACTCCCAACACCTTATCAATCCAAGAAAAATAAATAAATGTGTCGCTCACATATCAAACATAGTGATGGCTGCAACCCTTTCCCCAAATTATGGATTTTATAAATTTCAAACTTTAAGCGACTCGATAAGATAGGATTTGCATGAAATAATTAAGCATTTAATTTACATAACTAAAATGCTGAAGTATTAACATGACTTATCATCGATTGGCTCTGCATCCTCGGTTGCATACTCAACCTCCATCGCATATACACGAGATCTCAATGATGGCTTCTTTGAAAGTGACAACAAATGATATATGTGTTGGTTCTCTTACACTGCTCTCTGTAGCCTCACTATGCAATTCTTAGCAACATAGCCCAAATTTCGACACGAGTTGTAAATTACTCCATTCACTGGACAAAACATCTTGGTTTACCTGGTCTACCACTCCCAAAGCATAAATCCAACACTGTCTTGCAGGGTTCATAGTGAATCCTTGCGCACAAGCGATATTGTGGTGATTTCCCCATCCTCATCTCACAGTCTTTAGTGAAGTGACCTATGCGGCCAGCTGTCTGCACGTGACTACCTTGTTAGGGCAATACATCTTGGTGTGAATATGTTCCCTGCATCCAAAGCACCATCCTGAATCTGCCAAACAAGCTCTATCATGAACCCTCCACATCTGGTGCATTCTTTTAGTCTTCCTGCCTCTAGAATAGCAACATAGTGTATTTGATATTGCTGTGGAGCATTCGCCATTCTTGCTACCCTAGCATGAGCACTCTTTGCCAACCTAGCCTCATCCCTTAAGTTATAGGCCACCAAATCCAACATGAATACCACTGGGCACCTGGCTGATTGAAAGCTTCCATTACAACTGCTCTCACGGGTGCATCTATAGCCGCATGATCCAGCTTGAGCTGCCAGTGCTGCCCCTTGGCATCCTGCAACCACATTCTCTTCTGCAGCGGTTGATACTTCATTCAATAGGTTAACTGTATTCTTATTTTGATTACTGTTTCCATTATCATTCCGACAAGGTCCCACCATTCCAAAGAGAAATACAATGATCAAACCTTCATTCTTTAAAGACCATTGCAGAATATAAACTCAAGCTTAGATCGGTGGTGTTTTTTTTTCTTTCAAAATTTCCTATTACCACAAAAATAGTTTAAAAACATTTTACTTTCAAAAATCGCGTTCTGGAACAAAATTGGCTTAGCAACCTAACACTTTTATACCAACTGTAACGCCTCGACCGTCTTTACCAGTGAGGTCCCATGTTTGCTTTTGAGCCTGTGGGTCCCATCTTTGTCTAACGACCGATGCGTTAGTCATAAGGCTTGAAAATCATGATATATTGACGTGGAATCATCATGCGATATTTCTTCGTGTTTTGACCTTATTCACACGATGGAAAAATGATTATTTAATTTCCCAACAATTTGTAATTGGCATATTAAATCTTCAGTTATCACTTGTGAAAAATAATTCCTCAACTTGTAGTTGGCTTCGCAAAATGTGATCAAAATAATCAACCGTTAACCTTGAACGGCGAGGCGTTAAATCTATTTCTCTCTCATCAGAAAAATACTCATTTTATTCCCCCATTATTTGCAATCAGCACATTAAATCCACAACTATCTGCATGCGCATAATAATTCCTCAACTAGTAGCTAACTTTACAAAATCGTGATAAAAATATTTTTAGGCATTTTAGGATGGCTTTTCCACAACGTCTCGTACCCGTCCCGAATTTTCATCACTTTCCCAATTCCGTACAAAGTAAATACCTGCTTGAAATCATTTACTTTATACTAAATAGGCATGAAAAGATAACAACTATGAGATCTGATAACCGAATTACTGTTTACAATTAAAAAAATAAATATAAATAAATATATATTTTTTAAAGTTTTGCGCAATTGTCCGAATTTTCCTAATTTCCCCATAATTATCCGAAATATATGTGTTGAAGGTGACTTTTACCCAAAATAATTACCTAAAGTTGACTGTTATGTAAACTTTCTTCTCGTTCTTATCGGATTCCCTTTTGGAAATTGTTTTCCAATTTCTATTTTTTTCGTTCTCGTCATGTAGACATAAATAATTGTCTATCACAAATAATTATGGAATTAAATAAGCATTTTTAAGAACCGATAAGTACCTATTTAAAAACCGGTTTTAATTCAGTTATTTTCGATTCTTAAAACAAGAACCAATAAATACCTAATTTTTTGGATGTTTGGTTTGACTCAGGACGGCAATTTTGGATAAATTAGGAAAATGTAGTGAAAGTTTGCGTAATGGAACGTGTTCATGAAATTTTCTTACCTAAAGTTCTATCCGAACGGGTAATTATTTTAGATAAGGATCAACTTTGGAACATATATTTCGGATAATATTGAAAAATTAGGAAATTTTGGATAATTTTGTAAAAGTATATTAAATTTTTAAATTTTTAATTTTTAAACGGGTTATTCGGTTATCAGATCTCATAGTTGTTGTCTTCACATGCTCATTTAGTATAAAATAAATGATTCCAATCTGGTAATTATTTTGTACGTAATTGGAAAAGTGACAGAAAATTTGGAATGGGTACGGGACATTACGGAAAAGCCATCATAAAATGCTTAGAAATATTTTTATCACAATTTTGTAAAGTTAATCACTAGTTGAGAAATTATTATGCGCATGCAGATAGTGTTAGAGATTTAATGTGCTGATTGCAAATAGTTGGAGAATTAAATGATTATTTTCTGATGAGAGAGAAATAGATTTAACGTATCACCGTTTCAAAATTAACGGTTGACCATTTTGTTCATGAATATTACGAAGTCAACTACAAGTTGAAAAGTTATTTTGCACAAGTGATAGTTGGGAATTTAATATGCCGATTACAAATAATTAAAGAATTAAATGAGCATTTTTCCCTCACACGATATTGAAAATCAATTCCTGATACTTCACCTATCTTAGTGCTACTCTAACTGAAGCACACTTAATTTTTAAAAATTTCAGGTTTCTTTTTTTTTTGTTCAATGGTTTTTTAGGTTTAGCAACCAAAAAAATATATGTACTTTAATGATATTGGTAACTAAATCAATTTTTTTTTCGATTTCTTAATATATCCATATTTCTGAAACGAGGATTTTACAAAACCGTCATGTCCTATGTTATGTCGTTGATTATGCAGTTAGTAACGAAGACCCCGATTTTACCGTTGATCGTTCACCATCACTCCTCACAATTTCACGTGTTTGACTCGTGGTTTATCATTAAAACAGTATTACTGTGTACGGGAAAGGAAAAATATTTATTTTTATGCTAAAATGATATGAATCGTAGCGAAATTTATAACCGGATTCATGCTAATACTCAAATGTGTTACAATATTTGTAGTCAACAAATCAAATTTATTTGATATATATATATATATATATATATATATATATATATATATATATGTGTGTGTGTGTGTACTGTGATTAATAATATGCAATCTCAAATTCAATTTACTTGGTTGCGAGGTTTGTGTAGCTCAAATTCATTCTCCTCTATACACAATACCTGCGCTAAAAAACAGGTTTTGTATCTCAAAATTACTTTTTTGGGTGTGCGTGTCTGTGTGTGTGTGTATGTATAGTTGTTGGTTCTCGATCACCTTTGATAATTTTGTACTTCCCTACCATCTTTCAAAATGTCTCTGCCTAGTACTTTAAATGTTGAAGCACATAAGATGGCAACAAGTCAGGGCTTCAATTAGTTTCCTACGGACCAGTGTAAGTACAAAATTGGTGCAGATTCATTGCTATCAGCAGCATCATAAAATATATCAATCTCATTCACCAACTCTTCAAAGCAAAGTTCTAGATAAAAAAAAAAAATGAAAGTAAATAACAATCAAACTCTGTGAATTGAAACTCTAGGGTGTGAACATTTCTAGATCTCCTTTGAGATTTCTTACCAAAATCTGCAAACCATTTTGTAATTCTCCTCTATATATAACTACTCATTTGCTTCAAGTGCTTTCTCATATGAAAATAAAGAAAAGCTAAAGATTCAAGAGTGACTTCATTCAACACTTTAAGTTGTTCAGTTGTAATAACATTTGGGTTACAGCTTCATGAAATTGGAAGTTGTGTAAGAATTGGTAGTTTAAACTCAAGGACAATATTGTAAATAGTGCTTTGGTTGCACAATGTTTGATAATAACTTTAGAGAAGAGTAAGTTATGCGAGTCTTTACCACTTTAAATACAAAACCAAGTCTGAACAATGGAATAAAGTTTGAAAACATAAACTATTTGAAAGGGGTCAATTTTCCAATTTAACCAAATCAAAAACAAACTAAACAATCATTCCACATCTTTATTAAGCAGTTAGACAAAGACATTGCCAGACCAAGATAAACCGGTTTACTTGCACTTGCTGTTGGTTAAACCTTTGGTTACAAAATGCGAAACGATTCCAACCGGACAGAAGAGAAGGCACAGAGAAACCGAATGCCTCGTCTCAATCTGATTCTCTAACCCATCTTTAAAAACTTGCCTGCAGAGAAAACCCAAAAACACACTGCATAAAGAAACACATTTGTATAAATTCATAACAAGATGAAAACAGAATTAAAAACATACCTTGCAGCAAAAAGATCAACAACAAGAAGATGAATCCAAGCAGAAGCAAGAGTCATTTCACTTGAGAACATTTTCGCTATCCCAGGCAACTACAAATGAAAACAAAAACACTTTTAGATCATACAATGATGTTTCTTGTTTTGGATTTATTTTTTTATTTTTTGGGATGATGGGAGGCAAAAAAGAAACCTCTGGCAACATGTATTTGCTAGAAAACATGTATTTGAGCGTTTCAGGTGTCCAAGAAAGGTATAACAAATACGCGTATAATACGCCTAAGATGATATACGGTATGCTACTATCCATAGACTTCTTGGTCTGCACAGAGAGAAAAACAAATACTCAAATTCATATGAACTTCTTTACGTCTGCACAAGAAGTTGTGAAACTTACAATGTCAGCTTTTGGAGCTACAACCATTAGAGTGTAAAAGGGTAGAACCGCGGTTGTTCCGACCGCAAATACACTGCTTGCGATCTGAGAAGTAGTTAACCCTGCACATGAACATATTATGTCACTTTCCATGTTTCAATTTGAAATCAGAAGAGCTAAGAATCTAGATAAAGATTAAGCATTTTTGGTTTTTAATGTGTCAGTTAAGAGACATTTACATGAAGCTCGTACACAGGAGGATTTCCTGTGAACAACGGAGGATGATTTCGATGAAAGATTGGGGGAAAGAGCGATTCTTGATCCTCCGATGAAGCTCCAACGATTATGGAGTCGAATACTTGAAGAATCAACGAAAAGTTTAGACTTGATATTGTTGAGACAAATACTTGAAACCGAGCTTTTAGCTGAAATGTTGCGATTCATCATCTGAAATTCACCAAAACGAATCAATCCGATGAAAACAAACAAAAAGATTCCTTCTTTATTTCTTAGAGTTCACTAGTTTGAGACAACAAAAGCACTTTTTGATTTGGACAACAATAAATCAGGAACAGAGATAGGTTCTGTGACAGGGACCCAAGTAGAGTAAATTCAATTTATATAAAATCTCAGTCAAAGGATAAAACTTTAAGGTTATCTATAAGGAATCTGAACTATTCGAAATTGTAGAAAGCTCGACATAAGAATCTATCCCAACAAGATCCAACAACTGTTCATACATATACACATATATACATACGTATACGGTATATCTGCGTATAGAGAAATTGGAGAAGATTTGAAAAAGGGAGATACCGAGAGAGATGAAGAAGACAAAGGCTGGGAAATGCAAGAAGATAAAGCCATCTCCGATTCAAATCTTCAATAATCTTTGCCAGAAATTGGTCTTTCATTAGCTTCTTCAACGAACGCTCTGCATATATATTATATATGTAAAGAACCCACTTTTAAAGAGGAAGGTTGAAAATTTTCCACTGAGTGAAAAGGGAAGTGGAGAAGAAGCTAAGAGAAAAAGTGCTTCCTCGCTCTTTCTTCTTCAGTGTCGCCAATTATACTTCTTGGCTGGCTCATCCACCCGAATTTTTTTTTTAAGTTTTCGTCTTTTACTTCTCTTTCTATATTCCTTTCCTATTGAGAAATGACTTTCTACGTAACCGTTCACCTAAGTAATTAAATTATATTTAAAATATTCATATTATATATGTCTATTTATATTTATTGTTACAATTAAATAAAAAAACTTAGACAAAATTTGTTTTATAAAATTAAACAAAACTACAATATAATTGGATAGAAAATCTTGAAATATTTTATAAGTACCAACATAATTAAGATTTTAACTCCAAAATTTTGTATTTATGATTTATTATAGTAAAAAATATAAAATAGATTTTAGTTAATATAGTGAAAATTTATTACTTTACAGTGCATATATCTCAAATTTTAAAGAGAAAGTGTAAATATTTTTTTTACATTCTAAATTTGCAAGATATTATGGAAAATATAAAAGTTTTTTTCTATTATAAGAGATACACTTTAGTAAAAATAATTGATTTAATTAGATATTAATTTAACCTATAACTATTTTATTAGATATTAATTTAGCCTATAAATATTTTATAGATTATTCCTTTTTGGTTAATATAAACAAATATTACATTCTGATAGAAAACAATCTTGCAATTTTGTTTCAACAGTACAAAATTAACTAAAAAAAAGTTTTGTAATCATTTATCTAAGCGTAGTAAAAGTGTAAAACACCAGAGCATAATGTTTCAAAAATAAATCTTTAGCCAACAAATCGTATCAAAAATAAATGTCTAACTATCTTTTATTTTAAACATGAGATATTACAAAACCGTTAGTTTTACGTTGCGGCCTATATGTTAGTGTTAATAATTATAAATGTTAATGTGTATTTGTGTTTATTTTCTATCTAACATCATCGTATCTATTATTACTAATAAAAGTTGATGCTAAATATCTTTAAAAGTGTCTACATATGATTTAAAAATTTAATTTTATTGGTACACATTGTGGATGCAGAAATCCACACTAAGAAATTTATGTGTTTTGTAAGGAAAAAAACTTAGAAGAATTGAGGGCTAGATTCTCTTGAACAGATTGACAATAAAAGCTAGCACTAACTGAAATAAGGACTTGATATTAATCGGTTGAATGAAACGGTTACAAAAGATTTTAGTGTAGAAGATGAACTCAAAGAGTTCTGAGAGCAGTTACAAAGTTTCTAAGTGTAAAAAGCGTGTAAGAAGATCAAGCCGAAGGTCTCCTGAACTAAGCCGTTCTCCTTCTTTATATAGTTTGCTTCGTCGAGCTTCGAGCTCCAGCGCGTATCTCGGCCACGTGCAGCAGCCTTAGTCGGATATCTCGCCACGTGCAGCAACTTCCTCCGCGATATTCGAACTCGTTCGAACTAGCGAGAATATGCTCTGACTTGGCTCGGATTCTTCCTCGTTTTTTGGAATTTGGTCGAGCTGGAGCTCGACCTCGTCAAACAGAATGTCTTGTTGCTCAGGATCGGGTTGTTGAAAGGTGAATGGGCCTAGGCCGTAAGGTCAAAGCCCAGCCTTTTTGGCTTACTTCAGATCTGCCCGTTGGGCTTGAGTGGACCGGATTTGGAGTGTCAAATCCAGCTCCAACAATTGCCCCCAGCCCATTAACGAGAGCGAGCTCGAGCTTTAATGGCGGCAAGATAGGAGTCTTGAAAGATTTAATGTTTGATTATGCTGACGTCACGGAATCAGATAATCATTCGAGTTCGACGGTTCAGATCTTGGAAAGGTGAACAGTTTATTGATCATGCAGTCGAGAATCGACCTCGAGACCGTACCTTGACGTATCGAGATAAATCTGTTATTATCTCGTCCAGGTGGACGATCGAGATTCGGAGTAAATATTATCATTTACTTTTCTGTTTCGGCGGTCGAGCTTCCCGGGGCAAGGTGCATTCTTCGAGAAGATTTGCGCTGAAGCTTGATGACGTGGACGGTCTGGATGGGGAGATAGGAAGTCGATCTAACGGCCTCAATCAATCGAGCTGTGCAGTACGTCAAATTGTCGAGGTCGAATATTCGACGGTTGAGATCGGGAGATCGGATGGTCAAGATTGGCGCGTGGCCAGATTCTCTGCGATCTTCGAGGTTGATTATAATTACCTCGATATAAAGTCCACCTTCCCCACTCCTTCTTTAACCGCTTCCGTCTGTCGATTAAAGGTAACTTCCTCTTCTTTCTTTCTCTTTCAGTTTTCTACAATTTCCATCCGTCGCTTCCCTTTTTTTTTTTTTTGAAATCGAGTAGGAAACTTTTGCGTGCTTTCTCCGTTTCGAGAACTTCTTTCCGATGTCGGTAGTAGTGAAGATCGAAGGGGAAAAATCCAGGAGGACCGCCGTAGTTCCTTCCAAGATTGACCAGAACACTCTCGACAACTTCCGTTGAGAATGCAAAATCCCCGACGAGGTGGAGTTGGTGGTCCTGACGCCAACAGAGACTCCGGCGAGCGTGGAGCAAGGTTTTTGTTGTGCATACACGACGTATTTCCGGGACTGTGGGTTATTTTTCCCAATCCCTCGGTTTGTCCTCGAGGTGTTGGCGGACTTGCGGCTGGCTTTCCCGCAGATGTGCCCGAACTTGGTTCTGGCCATCATCGGATGTGCCGTGTAGGCCAAGGAGGAGAACACCATCTTCCGTTACTCGGATCTGAGGGCGTTCTTCTCCGTCAAGTACAACGCCCGCCGTCCCGGGACTTTCTATGCGTCTCCGAGGTCGAACCAGCGGTTCATTGAGGAAAGTCCGGAAAAGGACTCTTGTTGGGAGAAGACCGGATTTAAATTCTGGATTAACGAAGCATCCGTCGGAGACTTCGACTTTTCCCGGCTGCCAATCGAGTTCGCGGGCAACGGTTGTTTAGCTAGGCTCGAGTGTTCGCTAGCCATGTTTGCTTTGACATGCTCGTTGAGTTTTCTGACCTTTTACTGGTTTTTGTGTATCAGGTCAGCTGTCTAGAGCACCCAAGGATCCCGATATCGAGCACCGGCTAGAGCTGTTCAGGCAGGAGAGGTTGTCTGGAGCACGTTCACACGAGAACGAGTTCGACGAGTTCTTTCACCGCCAGCCCCGACTCCGATTGTCGCACCCGGTAGGTCTCTTGGTTCCTTATTTCTTGGCGAGCTATCATAATGATTGTTGCTTGCTGAATGACATGTTCTGACTTGTTTTGCTGGCAGCTGGAGTTCTTCCTCTCCGTTATATATTACCTTTTTCTAGTTCAGCAATGTCTCGCAAGCCCACCTTCCGTCAAAGAGCCGGGAAAGCCCCGGCTGGTCCGAGCAGCTCCAGGGTACGTTCCGAGAGCGTTAAGGAGGCCCTTGAAGCCGCGCTTGCCACAGCTTCTGCTTCTGCACCTCAAATCCGCGACGAGGAGGTTGAGCAAGTGATGGATCCTCAGCCCGACCCTCCTCACAATTCGGTGGGAACGATCTCCGTGAGCTCGGGCAAAACCCAGCAGTCCGCTGATGACCAGGGACCCAAGTAGTCTTTCCAGCCCGCCTCTAAGAGGCCGAGAGATGACGCGGGAGGTCGCGCCGCTGAGTCGCGCCCATCGGCGTCCAATGGGAGTGGTGGCTCGACGGGTAGTCGGCCCTTCCACTGGAAATTCGAGCACACCAAGGATCACCCGATCACGGATGACTCCGAGGGCATGGCGGCCATGTGGCGTCATTTCAAGCCCGCTAGGTGCCAACTTCCGGCTCTAAAGAAAATGATTGAGAGGGAGCTCTACGTGGAGATGGCGGCTGCCCAGGGGAAGGTACGAGGATACATTTTTCTTTGTGTAAGTTTGGTTAAGTGTCACTTGCCTTAACGCTTTGGTCCTTGATGCTTGTAGGCGGCGGAGGCTGGGAACCGGCTCTATGCTCGATTTGAGCAAAGGCTGCGAGATGTTCCACACCCGGACGAGATCAAGGAAATGAAGGAGGTAGTCGGCAAGCTGAAGTCCGATCTAGAGGCCGCGAATGCGCAGGTCGCTTGCGAGACTAGACTCCTTAAGCAATACAAGGGCCAGCAAGCTCACATCACCGACCTCGAGATCGAGCTGGCTGACAAGGGTGAGAAGTTCAAGGTTGCCACCAACCAGATCTTCGAGGCTCCAGCTGAAGCGGTGCAGGCTCAACGTGAGGCCGCGGCCTACCAGGAGGAGAATCTCCGTCTGGTCCGTGAACGCGAGAGTGATGTCCGCAAAGCGGGCCGTGAGATCTGGAAGGATATGTCTCAGAAGTTCATAAAGGTGGTCAAGGGCTTCAAGCTGAAGTGGGAGAGGAAGAAGGCCGAGGGTGTGGCCGAGTGCGATCTCCAGGAATGCATTACCAACAAGGAGATGCTCGAGCAGCTCGCCGTGAAGGCCACTACTGTCGAGGAGGAGCTGGAGAGGGTGACCAAAGAAGAGGAGGACTTGGGAGTGGCTTTTATGGCTGCCCAGGTCTCAGATTTCTCGATCAGCAAGCTTAATCTCCCCGTGATCTCGGAGTACTCGGTGGCTATGGACGTCGACCCGGTTTCAGGCGCGCATGTTGGTCTTAATCAGTTTGGTACAAACGTGGAGGAAGGTGGAAGTAGCGGAGCGAGGAGGGAAGATGACGACGAGAAGGCGGGTGGTTAGCTTGACGGCTGAACGTGGCTTCTTTCTCTTTCCTTTCCTCTTTTTAAATTTTATTTTTGAACTTGGTTGCCCGGCGGGGCTTTTACGCTTGTTTTGGTGTCCGGGAGGGCTTTTATCCTTAAGTCTCGAACTCGTCTGTGCCCGAATGAGCTTTTATTTTAATGCTATC